TCAATAAACCAAACCTACAGAAATGCAAAGTTTGCCATTTTCATACCAAAAGTCACAATTATTATTTAATCGGTAAAACACTTCAAAATAATCTTAGCAAACATCTATAAGACATTGAATGCATACAATTACATACTTCTACTATTTACTCACACCACAATTCCCAAGCGCATACTCTTCGGGTTCTCATAGGCAACTCAATTAAGACCAACAAGGCTCAGTATACGAAATTATTCATAAATAATCATAATTTATAACAATTCAAGAGTAGAAGAGTCATGAGAAAAATAACAAACGAAAACAGAAAGCAATTGGGGTTTCCCCTTCATACAATGCACACAACAAGAAAAGGTTGGTGACCAACCCCACTATTTATAAATTATCCCACACCCTAGAGTGAAATTATTCACTTTTTCCTTACCTTCAGCAAAGAGCGAAAAACGTGGGTCTTCGAGATGATTTCCTTCTGTCTCATCTCCTTTGGATTCTTCAAAGCATAAAAAGAAAAATGGAAGCATAAGAAGAAACTGACATATCATTTCTTTTAATTTAAAAACTGACTCAGCCTCTCATTCACCCTACCAACAATTACATACCTCTAACTAAGGTTATATTTTCCTTTCCCTCAAAATAATCTTAATAATAATAATAATAATAATAATAATAATAATGACATAGTAATAAAACATTATAACATATCATACTTGCATATAATATTAATTAAACAATTACGAAAATACTTTATTTTATAATTAAAGCACTCCATAAAATTAGCCTATTAATATCTTAAAATAAAACATTAAATAATTAATTTTAAAAAATGCAAAGTTTATGATTCATAATCCCATTCAACATGATAAGATGAAGCATATTGGGATTCAATCAAGGAATAAACCTTAAAAGTGTGTTTGGATGAGGAATTTAGTGGAGTAATTCAATTTTTTTTTAAGAATTACAAATGCTTTGAAGGTGAAATATTTTATTTAGATGGAAAATTCATAAAAAATTTGAAATTCAAACATTTTTAAAATTCTTCATTCTCGGTAACACGATAACACACAGTAAGGCACCTAAATTGAAATACGTTCGTATGCTAGTCTAAATAAAAAGAACCCAGGATTTGATGGTTAATTCCACCGTAAACAATTCTATAACTAAAACTAATGATTCTTTTATGAGACATTTTTTGTTACTTCATATTAAAATCTGAATTAACAGTGACACACTTATTTTTATTTTTTTCCAAAGTCATTTATGTACATATTTTTCTTTTCTTTTCTATTAGTCAGTCAAGTACGAATTTTGATGGTTTTTTTTTTCAACTGAAACGTCTAAAACCAAAACTTTATATTATTTCATTGGCTGTCCGAAAAACATTTACCAATGTGAATGCATTGCATTCGCGTTTATTGGTTTTTGGATGGGCTGACAAATTTTGATCACCTCTACTTATTACAATTACTTGAGGTTTTTTGTTTTTTTAAATGTATATATTTTTGTTTAGTAAATCTTCGATTAAACTACCTGATGGTGTGTTTGGATTTGAATGATAAATTTAAAAATTTAAGGAATTTGATTTTTTTTAGAATTTAAATTATTTTTTATTTTAACTTCTATTATTCTTTAAATATTTTGTTTGAATTGATTTATTCAAATTTTTATAATTTTTAATTTTTAATTTGAATATGATAATTTTTTAGGTACATAAAAAATTGATTTTAAATATATATATATATATATATATATATATATTGAAATTTTATAAAAATATTAATCAAATTTTAAATATTTAATAATTTTTAGAAAATAATGTTAGATAATATTTAACAACTAAAAAATAATTTTAAATATTTAATAATTAAAAAATCTATTAATATTTTTTTATGTAAACTTTGAAAAAGATGAGAAGAAAGTAGAAGCCAAAGAAAATGGAGGGAAATTTGAAAATAAAGAAGGGCAAATACATGGAGAGAAAAAAAATAAATAAAAGAGAGATAAAAGACAAAAGAGATATATGAGAAAGAAAAGAGATAAAAGTAATATCTCCACACCTACAATAAAAAATAAGATCTCCATTATTGTTTGTTTCCTTTTATTATTCCTTGAATCAAGGAATAAGTCTATGAAGCATATTAAGAATCATTCAAGGAATAAAAAGTTTTATTCCTTGATTGAGAAGTTTTATTCCTTCATTGATTCTTAATAGGCTTCATCCTATCACACTAAAAGGGATTGTGAACTATGTGGAATGCAACCCTATTGTTATAGTACAACTTCAATGTTAAATGGTAGGGATGAAAAATAAACATGTACATGTAGATATTGTTCAAATCCGCCTTGATTTTAATGAGAAATTTCTAGAAACTTATCTCCACCCCTCTTTAAATTTCAAGAAATGTAACATATATTTTTTTAGAATTACTTGATATTTATGTAATTCTTACTCTATTTTAAATTTTGTTAAATAAAAATTATTTAATGTAATTTTTTAATTATTACTCTATGTTGGAATTATGTTTGTTTTTTTAATATTTTTTGCAAAATAAATATTTAATTAATTTCCGAGCGAGTACATGTATACTCGATAGTCTACGAAGATGAAAAAGAAATATGCTTTTTCTATATTTTTTTGCAAAATAAATATTTAGTTAATTTCTGAGCAAATACATGTATACTCGATAGTCGATGAAGACAAAAATGAGACATAAATTTCATATTCATTGGTTATGAAGATAAAGATAAGTATAGGGTATGAACTCGGAGACAAAAACGAGTGAGTATATTGAGACCTGCATATGGTTATATGTGTGAGTACAAAATCAATTTCACCCCTGACAAAAATCAAATTTTGTTTTCCAAACTAACAATTCAAAATTTTAAAAATTTAAATTCATCTATCCAAATTTTTTTTTAAAGAATGATAAAAATTAATTTCAAATTCCTTGAATTTTCAAAATTTTTCATCTAAACACACCGTTAAAGTAATTCAAATTCTTAAATTTTCAAATTTCTTGAACCTCCATATACACTATAACATAATTTCTAAATATAAGCATTGTTATACCAAAGGATAAGATATGAAAGTTTCCACTATTGCTTTCTACATATACCATATTAAATTTTGAGAGACAAATATTTGAGAAGAGTTTCAGACTTGAAAAAATTGTCTTATTCAACCTGTATGTTGTATATTACATCATACTTATATCGAAGAGAAAGTAGCTTCTAATGGAAACTATTGTAACCGAAAGAGTAGCCTCTAAAGGAAGCTATTAACTCTAACTAATTCTTCAACTGGTTAAAGTATTAGAGTATCTAAGTAAATGTAAGTTACTTAGAGATGCCAGACGGAACTGTCAAAACGATATTAGAATCTATATCAAATTTAATATTAATTTATGCGTTATAATCTACTATAAATTTAAATAGCGTACCAAAGCGTCTCAACTATGTATAATCCACGTACCAATATTTTGTAAGGTCACGAACAGCATACATAGCATATTACGAATTATGACTGATATACACATGGTTGTCAATCTCTAGTGATAACTCGTAAACTCGTACGAGTTTACGAGTTTACAAGAGCTTACCTGTACAACTCGGAGGTAAACTCGTTTTTTAGTGAACTCGGGGCAATCTCGGTGAACTCGGGTAAACTCGTGTAAACTCGCGAGACTACTTTCAATATTAAGAGATCACCGTTTTTTTTTCCACTTACACAAAACGCACGTTTTGTGTTGTGTGTTAGGGCACTTTCACTCCAGACCAGACCTCTCCTACTCTCCTCTCCATTTCAGACCTCCGCAGCGCTTCCACGGCTCTCCTCCTTCGCGCCTCACCTCCTTCGCGCCTCACCTCCTTCGCGCGCCTCACCTCCTCCGCGCGTCTCCTTTCCTCTCCGCGCGACACCTCCGCGAGTCTCCTCTCCTCTCCGGCGAATCTCCGCCGATCTATCCTCTCTGATAGTGGCTCTGTATTCCCCGGCATCTGCAGATCTGTCTTCTTCTAAGAGGGAAGGCAGCGACGACGGCTTGAGGAAGGGTTGCATTGCAGGAAAAATAATTAGGGTTGGAATATGGGCCAAATGGGCCAAGTTTTATTTTTTGTTTTGATTTGGTTAAGAGGGTTTTTACTTCATTATTTTTTTTAGAAAGTAACCTCTCTTTATTAATTATTAATTATTATTATTATAATTTAGATAATATTTTAAGTAATACAAAATTTAATATAAGACCTTAAATATTTTGTTTTCTTAATTTTTTTATTTTGTTTAACTACTATAAATTTTTATTATTAAAAATATTTAATGTATAAATAGTTATATTTTTATTTTTATATGTATATTATTAATTATTTGTATTATAAATTATCTAATATTTATATATATATATATATAAATAAATTAGAATAGTGTAATCCTGCTATATTTAATAAATTATTTTATTATTAATATAATTTGTTATTTTACTCTTTAATATAAAGTTAAAATGTTTAATTATTATATAATTTTTAATTATTTTTATAATTTTGTTTATTGAGTAATCTCTTACGAGCTTACGAGACGAGTTTACGATACGAGTTTACGGAGCCTTCACGAGATTATGTAAACTCTCGAGATTGACAACCTTGGATATACACGCCCAGTTCTGTTGTACAATGTACAGAAAAGCTACATATTGAACCAGATCTACCGCTATAGAAAATAAGGAAAAGAAAAATAGAATAAAATTGTACTCCATTAGTAAGAAAAGCTATCAAAAAAGTTCTGATAGTCGCAGAAAGTCCCCAGAATGTTGTCGGAAGTTGCCAGAAAACCATCAGAGATATGAAGGTTGCTGGAAAATGTCACCGGAAAATTTCAGCTGTATTTTCTAATATTTGGCAGCTTCAAGAGCCCAATCAAACCTTCTACAAAGATGCTTTTTTGTAGAAACAAAGGCACAGCCCTTTTGGTCGGGAGCTCAGATACCGCAATAAAATGAAAAATAAATATTTTTTTTGAATATGCTTGAGTGATTAATTCCATCGAGCAAAATGGACTTATTTATATTCAAGAGAATTACAAAATGGAAAAACAATTTACAAGAGAACTATTAAGATGCCACTACTTTCTATGATGCATTGAACCTAGCTAATATCAAGTATCTAGGAAACAGAAAAATAAACATGAAAGGAGTTCCTATCTGCTAAGATTTTCCTTTTCCAACAATACTTAACATAAATCTCGTCTTGTGAATGTATTGTTTGCTAACACAAGATTTATGTAAAGTATGATCCTTCTTAACGGCCCATAAAGCTCATCATCATATCTGATTGCTCAATTATGATCTTTCTTACTTTTCTTCAGCAACATTGTCATGTGATTGACATCCTCATTTCCTGTTTGTCTTCTATCCATAAGCCACTGCAGTGCCTCAGCCGCAGCATCTTTCTCTGCATTCTTCTTGTTGTTATAGGGATGACCCATTATTTGGACTCCGTTAAACTCAACTGTAGCCTGAAACTGGTTGTTCTTCAATTGCTTAGTGATGTAGAAGGGTGCACCATATCCAGCTCGTGTCAGCAACGTTTGAAGCTGACCTTTAGAATTATCACCCCCGGGTCCACTGTCTGTTCTTGAAACCAATTTTTGCTCCAATGCCATCATTGATGGTTTAAGCAGCTGGCTACTAAATACAAATCTGCCTTCACATTTGTCATTGCAAATCAGCAACCGTATAGCAAATAAGAGCTCATGGAATGAGTGTATGCTCATCAATGGACTCTGCAGCTGCAAAGAGTAATTTTAAATAGAAACCATTATCAGTGCAAATTGGTCCAACAAAAAACACCAAAAGATACTACAGCCTACACCAAAAGAGTTGTTACGATAGTTTACTTTCTAGTTATTCTTATGGTAGTTAGGTTAGCTATTGTCTGTACTTTTAATGATTCTGTTTGTTATGGAAGCTCTCTCTTGATAAATCAGAGAACAGTGAGGTCAAAATTTCACTGCAGAAGTTTCTCCTTTTTCATGTTTCACATGGCATCTAGAACAGGGTAGAAAACCATGGTAGTAAATGGCAGATAGTGGCGTGGAGCAGCCACCCAAAAAATGCTGTACGGCTATAGTAGGATCATAGATACCAGGATTACCACTATTTACATATTATAATAAAATAAAATAATATTAAGAGCTATAATAAATAATCTGCTAATAAATTTATTGTATATTAATTAAATATTTGTATATAAAAACCTATAAAAATTAATATTTAAATTTATAATAAATATTCTACAATTAAATTTATTATATACTAAGGGTATGTGAAAATCTTGATAGCCTGAAGGTGTCTCTCTTGAAGGTCATGCATAAATTTACTAGCCACACTAATAGCATAGGCAATATCATACTTAGTGTTTGATAGATATAGTAGCTTCCCTTCCAATCGTTTGCTCAATGGGCACCCTAGTGGCATTGCATCCCAATTTTCCTTTCTCCTTCAAAAGATCAAGTACATATTTCCTTTGAGAAATAAAAATGCTTTTTTCTGAAATAAGCAACCTCTATGCCAAGGAAATACTCAAGTTTTCCCAACACTTCCATTTCAAAATGAGTTACCATCTTTTCTTTTAAAACTAGTTTCTCAACTAAATCATAACCTATAAAGATCATATCATCTACATACACTATGAGAAGGGTGAGTTTGCCATCAGGGGAATGTTTTATAAATAGAGAATGATCACCTTGATTCTATTTGTATCCTAGGGATTTCATAGCTTGAGTAAATCTTCCAAACCATTCTTGGGGAGATTGTTTGAGTCCATACAAAGCCTTTATCCACATACTCACTTTGTTCCTTCCACCATAAGATTCAAATCCTAGGAGACTCTCCATGTAAACTTCCTCATCCAAGCCGCCATGCAGGAAGACATTTTCAACATCAAATTGTTGTAGATCCCAACCAAAGTAGGCAACTAGGGAGAGAATGAATCTTATTACTTTCACTTTTGCTAAAGGGGAAAATGTCTCCTTATAATCAACACCATAGATCTATGAGTACCCCTTGGCCAGCAATCTTGCTTTGTATCAATCCAACGTCTCATAAAATTTACATTTCACCGTGTATTATCGATATGCAACCTACATCTTATTTGTTTGGGTTTATCAACAATCTCTCAAGTTGAGTTTCTCTCTAATGCCTTCATCTACTCATTCATGGCTTTAACTTAGTTTCTATCTTTTAAAGCTTTTTGGACTGATGTAGATGTTTTGATTGCATCAATGGTTGCAATAAAGCTTCAATCTTGAAGAAAGAGATGGTCAATACAAAAATTGAGAAATAAGACACCTGACACATGATCTCTTCCTTTTCCTCAAGACAATATGCATATCGTTTGTAACTTTTCCAAAGAATCGACCTTCCTCTTTTGCATCATTATGATATTCCTTTGACTTTTCATTGTGATCTTTTTGTGCTTCTTCAATATTAGTGTCTTGGACATCCTACATGGAAGAGATAATGATCCAAAGACAGACTCAACTTCTAGAATACTCTCCCTAAAGTTGATGGTTGAAAAAAAGGGTACGGATTCATGAAATGTGTCATTCATTGGTTTAAAAAAAATCGACGATTTTGAGGGTGATAACACTTAAACTTCTTTTTATTGGAGGGATAACCAATAAAGATACATTTGATAACTCTTGAGTCTAACTTACCATAATGAGGACTATGATAATGAAAAACTGCAACACACCCAAACACACAACATGGGAGACTTAAAAGTAGGGGAGGAAAAGAGAAGAACGACAACATGTGTTCAACTCGACTAATACCTTATAAAACATGAATGGGTGACCTGTTAATGGGATACATGGCAATTACGACAAATTCTCCCAAGTAGACATTAGGGACAAACATTTGAAAGAGTAGAGCTTTGATGACATCAAGTAGGTAAAGATTCTTTCTGCAATCTCATTTTTTTGGAGGATTATTAACATAGGTTAATTCATGGATAATACATGCTATCTAACAAACTTAGAAAATTCAAGGTTAACATATTCAGTTTCATTATCTAATGGAATTCTTTTAATGGACTTACCAAATAGATTTTTCCCAAGATAGAAAAAATTGACAAATATTTGACAATCCTCAAATTTGTGTTTCACAAGGTAAGCCCATGTCACATGGGTACAATAATCAATGCAAGTTACAAACCATCTAGCACCAGAAACAATTCAACAAGTCCCCACATATCAAAATGGACAAGATCAAAATGAGAAGCACTTTTATTATCACTAGGTGAATGTAGAAGGACAGAATTTTAGAGAATTTAGTAAAACGTATTATTGATAAAATTGAGTAAATGTATCGGTGAGGTATAAGCTATATATATATAGAGAGACCAGTCTCAACAAAGTAGATAACAATCCTAACAAACTAACCAACATGATGAGTTGGCAAATCTTAACAAAAAAACAGAATGTCTTAAGCTAAGTCAATATAGCTGATAACAAAACATTTATTATTCTATTCCCTAATAGTGAAAAGGAAGCACAATGGTATTTAGAAACTTGACAAATATTACAATTACAGGACTCAACATACTTTTTTATAAACAATTGTGGAAAAAGCAATTTAAGTACCCCAAATGGAGGATGTTCAAGATGCTTGTGGTGAAGCCAAATTTGTTAACCAACCCTAGTGTATGTGGTTTCCTGTTGACTAGAAGACAACTCCTTTTTCTGATATTTTTGTTAAAGTCAAATATGATTTTGTCATGATTCCCTCTAATGTAAATAGGGAAATATGGAAACTTGTATAGCTGAAATTTGGGATTACAGTAGTTATTTCTTTTCCCAAATTTTAGCATTATTGATTATGAATAAAGCTAGTATGTGTGATTAGTGGACATGTAAATCCCTGATGGTATCAAAAGTTTAAATTTGTTATTTTTTTCTTTTGCATGAACAGTAACACGAATTACTGTAGAACTTCATGGGCCGTTGCCGAGCCACCTTTTTTCTGGCACAACCATACCACTATAGTTACTACTCTCAGGCGACCATCATGCCACCAAACACACCATTGATTGCTACCACACACTCCCACACGCGCAGCCTCTCTCCAACTAGTGTGTTTCATGAGCTTGTCACAGATCAGCGTGTAAAGTCTTTTCCAACGAGACCCATTGTTACCTCACCATTACATTCCCTTGTACCTGACAACCCTATTCAACCCTATTTGGCTTCTTTTTCCATGGTTGCTCACGACACCTCTTTTGAATTCTGCTCTGTTGTGACCATCTCTATCTCGTTGATCCCTTGTGAAAAATTAACTGGGACAGCCAACTACAGCAATTGGGTCGTTGCTTTGCATCTCTAGTTCCATGGCCAAGGTCATGTCGACCACTTGATCGCTCAAGCCAAAGATATTTCCACCACAGATTGTATTGTATTCTTGGCAACAAGTAGATGCCTCATTATACAACTTCCTATAGTTCTCTACCATTCCCAACCTCTAGCCCTAATATCAGGCCTTTCCCACCTGTTTCGAGGTTTGGACCAAAGCCAAACAAGTGTATTCCAATGATGTCCATTGTCTCTAGTGTCATCACCACTTTGATGAATGCAAAGTTAGAGAACATGGGTATGTAGACCTATCTTGGTAAGCTCAATCATTTAATTGTTGATTATGCCACACTTATGCCATTTACTAATGATGCAAAGATGTTTCATAAGCAATGTTGCCAAATCTTTATAGTGTTGGCTCTTGCTACTCTCCCATCTAATCTTTATGTTCTCCACAATCAGATTTCATTAGGACAAATGGTGCCTACTTATGACATGGTCCATGAACAATTGTTATGTATCTTGACTCCACATGCTGGTGATTCTTCCACTCTTGTCTCCCACTCTTCTACTCGAGGTGGACGAAGTGGGGGTCATGGTGGTCATCGTCTACCTTGTTGCAATTACTGCAACTGACAATTACTACCCTTTGTTACCCTTTGTTACTCTACATCCTAACCTTTTCCTAAAGTTTGCCTTATTTGTCCCTGGTTGTCCTTTTCTTATTCAAGATTGACATACCAGACAAACAATTCGAGCAAGGCATGAGTCTAGAGGATTGTACCATCTCTCACCACCAATTGCCTGTGTCTCACATTACTCCCCAACTCTTGCACATCAGTGTCACAGACACCATAGTTGAGAAGTTACACCTTTTGGTTCCTAGTCTTTCTACTATTACATTTCTTTAGTGTGAGTCTTGTCGGTTAGGCAAACACACTTGACATACTTATAATAAACATGTCATGTCATTATATGCTTTAATACACTCGACATACTTATCTCTATCGATGTTTCTTCAAGTTCACCCCTTTCTTCTCTTGTCCCACAAATGAAGATGGTCCTCTAGATGTTTTGTTTGTTCTTCCGATTGTTCCAATATCAATTGTTGCCTTTGCTCCACCACCACTAATTAACTACCACAGGTAGACACAACCTCCCTCAGCAATCCCACCTACTAATCCTCCAGCATCATCTCATGCTTCAACTGCCCCTCTGCCTATGTCTCCTGCACCAGATCTTCCTATTGCCCTTCGAAAACGTATTCGATGATCTCACAATCCTAACCCTTTATATGTTTTTTCTCTCAATTATGATTGTGTATCTCCCTCCTATTTCTCCTATATCTTTTTTTTGGAATTTGCATCTATTCCTAAGTCTACAGGTAAGGCCATGGCTGATCCTAACTAGCAACAAGTGATGTTGGAGATTCTGCTTTA